CAAAAATAAAGCATTGAATGCATGGATGGTTTTTTTATAATACACATTTTCCCTTGTATAGCTGACATTTGAGTATTTAGTCATCTGAAAATTTTGAAGTCTAGAGATACAGATTTTAATTTTGGCTCTTTGATTTCAAATCATTTAAAAAGAGGATGTCAGAGAGATCCTGAGGCACATGCTGACGATCTCGTGTGCACCTCGGCCTCCAGATTTTACAGATAGGTGAACAGAGGCCCAAGCCTCATTGCCACTTCAGCATGGATGCTAATGAAGGTAGCACCTGGACCAGTAACTAAGGAAACTTATTGTAAACATATCAAGACCACTGGATAGAATTCTTAGAGTTAGATTTAGGAGCCGTTATTTAATTTAGGAGTAATCATTAAGTTTTAAAAATATTTATCTACCTGAAAGGCAGTGTGACAGAGAAACAGACAGACGTGTCTTCCATCTGCTGATTCACTCCCCAAATGCCTGCAACAGCTGGGCCAGTCTGACTGGAGCTCATCCAGGTCTCCCACCTGAGTCGCAGGGTCCCAAACACTTGACCTATTAGTGGCCATCTCTTGTGCTGTTTTACCAGGGAGATGGATTGGAGTAAAGGTGCTAGAATTTGAGCCAGGACTCAAAACAGCACTGCAGATGGGATGTGGGCACACCAAGCCATGGGTTAACATGGTGTACAACCTATACCTGCCCCAAGGAATTGCCATAAATTTAGGACAAAAGACAGAAGTCAGTTGACTTTTGTCTCATCACTGACAATCAGAGAAAGAGTTTTGTTTCAGAATGTTTTGGCTGAATGGACGCCTTAGACCTTGGACTGTGTAAGGAAAACACTTAAGGAAAAAAAAAAAAGATTTATTTGAAAGGCACAGTTAAATAGAGACAGGGAGAGACAGATAGAGGTAGAGGTCTTCCATCTGCTGATTCATTCCCCATATGGCCACAACAGCTGCACCTGCACCACAAGAATCCAAGAACCAGGAACCCGAGGTCTCTCCTGTGGGTAGCAGGGGCCTACGTATTCGGGTTACCTGCTGCTGCTGTCCTAGGTGATTAGCAGGGAGCAGAATCAAAAATGGAGCATCTGAGGTCGGCCCGCGGCTCACTAGGCTAATCCTCCACCTGCGGCGCTGGCACCCCGGTTCTAGTCCAGGTTGGGGCACTGGATTCTGTCCTGGTTGCCCCTCTTGCAGTCCATCTCTCTGCTGTGGCCTGGGAAGGCAGTGGAGGATGGCCCAGGTCCTTGGACCCTGCACCCGCATGGGAGACCAGGAGGAAGCACCTGGCTCCTGGCTTCGGATCAGCGCAGCGAGCTGGCCATAGCGCCCATTTGGGGGGTGAACCAACGGAAAAGAAGACCTTTCTCTCTGTCTCTCTCTCTTTCTCACTTTCTCAATCTGCCTGTCAAAAAAAAAAAAAAAAAAAGTGGCGCATCCAGAACTCGAACTGATGCCCATATGGGGTGCAGGCATCGCAGGCGTAGGTTTAACCACAATGCTGGTCCCAGGAAAGCATTTCTTGATAGGAATTATGTCACACGGTGTACAATTAAAATCACTTCCCTCAAAACCTTCACACCACCCCTCCGTTGTACTGTGATTCCCCACATTGCTGTTGAGAGTCTGCTGTCATTTTGATTTGCTTTCCTTATTCCTTTTTTCCCTTTTGAGATCTCCTTCTATCTGGTAGAGATGTCCAGTGAAGCACAGGGAACGGGCGGGTTACAAGCAGCGCCTTTCTCTTGTCAGTGTGAACGCGTTGCTTGGCATTCTCGGCTTCTTAATTCACTTCATGAAATACACACCAAGACCCTACTGCCTAAGAGCTGCCAGTGACTTTGAAGCCTCATCGCTCCCCTGAGCCTGGCCTGTGCTGATCACACTTCTGACCTTTGCAGAGCCAGTCACAGCTGTTTTTGAAAATTAATTTATTCATGTTTAGAATTTTAAAAATTGAATTTTAAATGTTTAGTGTACAGAGGACTGTGAGGGAGAAAAATGCGGTAATATGGCTGATATCCGTGTATGTCAGTCTTGGTGTATCTTGGAAATCTGCCACAGTTTGTGAAATAACACAAATGCTAAGGAGAGAGGACCCACTGGGTGAGGAGTGGGAGACCTGGGGTACCCACGGCCCCATCTTGCAGTGATACAAGCGTCTCACCACTGATTGTGCCGTCTGGGGCACCAAGGCAGCGAGGCCCTTCATAGTTCTCTTTACCCACTGGTCAAAAAGCACGTTAGAGGCACACTGGGTATGGCCCCTTTTGCCCAGAAAGATAGGCGTGAAACCGAGGACCGTGGTCTCTTGGATGCCTGTGTGATTTACCTTCTCAAACTGCAGTTGTTAGTCAAGGTACTGTAAAAGTCTCTTAGCTGCTGAGTTTTCACAAAACCTCCTTCATATGTTAGAAATTCAATTAAAGAAGAAATGTCTAGCCTCTGCTACTGCCTCACGCCCGTCCCAGGGCTGCGCGCTGGGGGTGCGGGCGCGGCAGGTTTGGAAGCGCAGCCGGCTGGCCCGGCAGTGCCGTGCTCCCAGCTCTGAGGTCTCCCTGCACTGCCTTTCGCCGGGGCCTTCCCTGTTGGCTCTGCATTTCCAGTTGTCACCTGCCATCTAATTTCTGATCCGATGCTGCCGCTGGAAGGCGTCTCTGTTTCTGTTGTTGTAACTGTTGTTTTTCTGATGTGAGTTCAGTTTTGTGGATGCTTTTTCTCTCTTATTGGCGTATGATTTCCTGGAGAGCCCAGCTGACCCCGTTTCCTCCTTGATTTCTCTCTGGGCTCTAGAAAGGTGTCTTGGTGTAGCGGGTGTCGAGGGGTTCCTGTGTCCTTTCAGACTCACACCCATGCCCTGAGAGCGGATCTCCCACAGCACAGCGGATCTCCCGTCTTGGCCTTGTTCCATCCTGGAGAGTCCCCAGGGTGCCCTCCTGAAGGAAGGGCTGGGACCCTGAGGAGGTGGCAGTGGCCTGCAGGTACTTTGAGTACGTGGTCCCAGGACACATCTTGCAGAACAGTTGACACTGCAGTGTTTCCAGTTCATTTCCAAGTGCCAGTGAGTGAACCAGCTCACTTTGGTGAAGCAGTGAGGTTTCCTGAAAGTCGAGTGGTGATCTTAGTTTGTTATCTGGCTCCCGTCATTTCACAGCAGGCTCTCAGGTTTGGTTGAGCATTTTTACTACACGTGAGTGATAGAGTACGTATATTGAGGTTTCATGGATGTAATTGTGTTAAATGTACATCATGGTAGATTTAAAAATGAAGGATTTGTTTCGTCATTTATAAAGTTGTTATACAGTGTAGGGAACTGTTCGTTAAAAGATAACATCTCCTTAACCTCCTTATTTCTTTCTTATAGGAGAAGGTTAGATCCACAATAAATACATGAAGAAATAAGTAGATAGGGGAATTCATCTTGGAAATAAGATCCCTGTCATGGTTTTGAAATGTTAAATGCATGAAGACCCATCAAAGAGATGAACGGACATGATATTTTTATAGTGCATTTTAGAGTATTTAGTTACATTTGTCATCTCCAGTACTAGTAAGCAGTGATCAGATGACAGTAATTTCAAAGTCCGTCTGTACTAATGGGTGTAACTTTAGTGTCTTCTCACATACATTATATACATAAATAAACTAGTAATTTTCATCTTTTAGTATTAGTGATGCACTTCAAACAGGGCATTTTAAAAGTATTTAGCCTTTGATGTCTTTTATATTTAAGATCTAACTTTATAAATATATAGTGATAAATGATAAAAGAAGAGGGATTTGTGTAAAAGTCAGATTCTTGGTTCAGTCAGTAGGGACTTAGGAAACTGCATGGTTAATTTGTTAAAGTAATTCACAAGTGCCTCAAAATGGGCGAGTTAGTGACTGGGGGTCGGGATTTTTTCTCTGTCCCTAAGAGGCTAAGGTTAAATCCCTTCTGTGAAAGTATACATTCTTTCTGCAACTCCTTATTTATATCCTAATTTACAGCACAGATACTGTGATGTTATTTTTTAGGGGAATTAGCTGCGTAAAAGTATAGCCCAATTTTTGGTATCTGTCCCGAGACACTATGGTTCCTGCGTGCTTTGGCACATAGCCTATCCTCCTACTACAATACCATCCTAAACTAATTAGCTGGATACTGTTAATCATAGAAATTGCTTGAGATTCAGTTATATTAAAAATAACAGGTAAATTTTTGGTATGATTTCGTGAATGCAAGTAGATAGGGACTGCAGATCACTCAGAGGAAACAATAATTTTGAGCGTGGTTCATATTCCCATTGTTATTAAAAGAATCAAAAGATCTTGTTCTATGAACTGTGAGTGGGAAAGGTTTTCTCCTGTAAGTACTAAGTTGTTATTTTCAGTTTTTTTTTTCCATATAGGTGGTGATTGCAGTTTCTTTTTGTCTCAGGCTTGTTTTCTACAAACCTTTAGATACACTGTATTTCTATCTTTTGTCAAAGGGCACTTTGTGTCCCTGTTTGGTGATGCAGAAGAACCCTGTGTTTAGGGAGCACCTTGGGGTTCCTGTTCTGCAGGGAGCGAGGAGGTGTGGGGCGCTGGTGCGGTTGAGCAGTGGTGCTGTTCCCACAGCCCCAGCGCCCGCCTGGCAGGCAGCAGGGCTTGTCTGAGCAGTTGAGTATGGATAGCATTTCATTTAGCCTTTGCTCTGACAGCCCATGCCCTGGATAAGTGGTGTAGGCCTACACAGGTGAAATCTATTCTCACTTTTGCCTCAGGGGTGACTGGACTGTAACAGAATTTTTCAAACCCGTTGGGCCCAACCGCAAAGCAGAGAATAAATGGCTGAAGTGCCAGGCCTGGACAGAAAAATCAATGCCTGGTTATACAGACATGACAGACCAGGCCTGCAGTTCTCACAGAGGCTGTGTGTGCACCACACTGGAGGGTCATGGCACGCTCTGGTGGGGCTTTGGTGGTAGTGTGCCGGCTGTATTCACGTTGTTCTCTCTCTCGTCTGTGCAGGAAATTTACATGCCACTTATGTGATAGGAGCTTCACAGAGAAGTGGGCCCTGAACAACCACATGAAGCTCCACACAGGAGAAAAGCCGTTTAAGTGCAGCTGGCCCACGTGCCACTACTCATTCCTCACCGCCTCGGCCATGAAAGACCACTACAGGACGCACACAGGTGTGCCATGCCAGCTCCCGCCCTGGAGGCGGGCGCCCGGGGCTGGGGATGTGCCCACTGGTTGTCTCGAGAGCTGTCTGTGAGAATGATGTCCTTCTGTAGAGCTCGCTTAAGACTGTGGTAATCACATATGAAAATCGATTGCAATGGAAAAGGGGTGTAGTGCCCTTCATTGCTGACCACTGATACTCAGGGTCTTCTTAAGAGGACATTCCAGTGTGTGTGCACACTTGTGAACATGCATGCGTCTAAACAGAATCAGTTCATATGTGGCAGCTCATGTGTGGGGTGTGTGTGTGTGTGTGTTTATATAGATGTGCATATTTGTATGGGTGTAAGCACATCTTTTTAGAAGATTATTTAGGGAGATTAAATTTTTGAAGAGATGGAGTCTTGGATTTTGTTGCTGACATAATGTAAATCCCATAATATTTTTGAACATTGTTGAATCTTGATTTTATGTGCCCTTTAAGCAATTTTGAATCATTGTTTCTTTCAGGGGATAAAGTTATCAGATCTAAGAGTTTTGATAATTAAGGGACTAATCAGAATTTAGCCACTGCTTTTTAAGAAAATTCACATATAAACAGTCTAGATTCCCATGTGTTTACATCAAAACATCCAAAGGACTGAGTGGAATTTAAACTATTGGTAGTTACAGCCCCATTGAGAATGCACTCAGAATTTTTGTTTTAGGCTTTTATAATATGCATCCCATTACTACCCTATTGTTATATGCTGTTTAGCACTTGTTTTTCTTTGTCTAAGTACAGTGGCCCACAACTTGCTTGTAAGCCCATCTTTGAGTACCCATCTTATATCACTGTGTTCCTGTGAGCTCTTTGATATTTCTGTAGTCTCCTTTCTGTTTACACCTCTCAGAATGAATTTTGTTTCAGGGAAAACAAAATAATAAATTTTAATCAGCATCCCCAAATGTTTTCTGATTGCCAAGCATCCTGTATTACTGTTAGAAATCATAGGTGGAAAGTTCTTCGGCAGCAGTTGGTGGGAAGCCCAGGCCTCCTTAGCCTCCCTGACAAGGGTGTTGACGATTTAAGGTCTCCAGCCTGCCCTGAGAGATCACTTATATCGAACAGCAGATGAAAAGCCAGTGCAGATGTAATTTATCGTCGGCGTTTCCTTCTAAAGAATAATTGTGGAGACTTGGCTGGATCAATAATATGGATTTTTGTTGTTAGGTCTTGTAGTGTGCACCATAATGAGAGATAGGGGACAGTGGCTGTTTTCTAATAGAAAATAAAGGATTGGTTTCCATGTCTTTCTGCATTTGAATGCAAAATGGCACACTTGAAACTAATTCAAGTTGTTACAAAAAGAAGTCCCCCATTGTATCTCTGCTATCATGCAAATATACCTTGCTAAATGAACTCCTCTGTACTGAGGGAAATATTGTATTTAATTTTGTCTTAAAAGATTTTTTTTCTAAAAAAAAAAAAAAAAAAAAAAAAAAACTAACTGTTGGCTCACTATTCAACCCTAACCCTTTACCTGCTTAAAAAAAAAAAAAAAAAAAAGTGAAAATTGAACTTAGAATGAAAAACAAATCAGGCCACCACAGTAAATGTGACATATAATTCATTGGAGACTGCCTTCCTAAATAAAATCCTACACATCAAAAAATCAAGGTCACCATTGTATCTGTACTCAAATCACATGAGAAATTAATAATTTTATTTTTGTATTTACACGTAGACTAGGGAAGGGAGTAAAATAGTATATGCAGAATATGCACACAGTAAGTTCAAAGCATTTGTGGAAAATGGAATTAAAATGTAAGGTTATTTTGCTGTGATGCAATATTGAAATACACATGCGTGTTTTCATAATATGCATTTTCTATAATCCTAAGACCCCTCTTATACACAGCGTATCTGTCTACTTGTAGGGAATATAACGATCATGAGGATTTTTCTGTGCTTGCTAATATTTTCAAAGAAGTTTATACATAACAGACAGGAAGAATACTTTTCATGAACCAAAAGTAATAAGTATTCCCTTTGCTCATTAGAAATTTCGGAAGTTGGATGATACAGCACCAGTATTCCCCTCACCACCCACCGACTAATGCATGTGTGTGTACACCTCACATGCATGTGTGTGTTCTGGCTCAAACATGCATTCCCACACAAGAGTTAACACCCTCAAAACTGTGCTGATGGATAAATTACTGAGAACACTTGTGCCTTAACATAGAATAGTGTGTTAATATTAACGAGCAAATTGTCTTTAGGGATTAAAAAAGAGTCTATTTTCAGTGTTATTTAATTGATAATACAGCTAGTTAGAAAGATTTATATTTCAAATTGATTAAATAATTAAATGAGTGATTATAATTAAACTTTATTCTTCACAGCTCATCTCCTCTATTCTTTCTGCATTGAAATAATGATACCAAAGAGTAAACTTAACCACAAAATAGGAAAGTAAAGATAGTAAAAATATTTAAATTTGGCTTTATTTTTGAATGATAATAATGAAAATTTTAACATACCGTTGGGAAATACATTTAAACATTTTAGTTAAAATTCATATTAATATGTGTTCATTTAATTTTGAAAAGCCAATAATACTGTTAAGAGAAGATTATTTTTTATCAAAGTTATTGTGCCTTCCTATGTGTACTGTTTATTCTACCCTTTAAAAAGCAATTGTAATTTCCAAAATGCTACAAGAAAAATTTCTGTTATAACATACTAGAATGTTTGGAACAAAGCAGGCTGACACAGGCACACCCTGGGAAGACTTGTTGCATTAAATATCTAAATGAGTAAAGTGCATAAAGATAGATACAATGATTTATTTTATTTCTGGAAAGTATTTTATAATTTCAATGCATCTCTCTAGGGTTAGCATTTTTATTCCATTTTGTCCTTCTTTGTGAATCTTATGGGATGAACTGCCTAGCTAGCCAGCACTTATTGCCTTAACGTGCTACAATAGAAAGATATATTGCATTTATAAACCGTAGAGCCGAATGTTAGCCTGTATAAAGAAGCGTTAAAGAAAATGAGCATTTGCAGACTTTTCACAAACGCTAAGTCTGTCAAATATGTCTCCCATTGTTGCAGAGGTTTCCAGTTTAGAGCTATCATTACAGATAAAAAATAGGAATGTTTGTGTGATTTCTTCAGCAATCGCTAGCTTCCTTTTTTTATGCCACAGAAGTTTGAGAAACAACAGCACTGAATTACTGTTTGCACTGAGTCAAGTAGACTTTATTACTTGGAACTTCAGTGTCTTTCAGGAAACCATTTAATTCATATTATTAAGTAGGAAGTGACTAGAGAAGACCTTGCTAGAATCAGGTAAAGCTAATTCAGTGTTCTTAAGTATTCAGAAAATTTGGTATGTTTCATTTCAGTAGAATCATACATACTGTATATTACCTATTCCAAGCAGTCTTTACTCAGCTTAGAAAGGCCAGATGTATGGGAATTGTAAAAAATCAGGATATGCATAAAAACTGTTCAAGTGCATAAAGCAGCCCCATCTGGAAGACATCTACCAGAAATGAAGTTGTACAAAACCATTCCATTGATAATAAAGCTAATTTTTATGGGTCTGACAAGTATGTAATTATGTTCAGTGGTGCTTTTCAGATTTTATCACAGTCAATAAACCGCAGTGGTAATTTCATTCCCATTTGACATATTTACATGGAAACATTTGATTGGAGGAATTAGTAACCCTGAAAGCCTTGATAGATATGTTTTAATGATCTGTGACCTCCGCAGTCCCTCATCTGTTTATTGTTGCAACAGGCGAGAAGTCGTTTCTATGTGACCTCTGCGGCTTTGCCGGTGGGACCCGGCACGCCCTCACCAAGCACCGCCGGCAGCACACAGGTCAGTACCAAGTCCATCCCAGCTGCTTTCTGCAGGCACCAGCATGAGGCGTCAAACTCATCCATTCCCTTTCCACTGAATTTTTATAAATCAGTTTACTTGAGGGATTACAGAAAATCCTGTTGGCATAATGTGAGATTTTAAGTGGCCTGTTTTTGTTTGTTGCAATATATATTTAAAAATAAGATATGTTAACATGTTTCAGGGATCAAGTGTCCTTGGTAAATTCATGTTAAGTGAGAGAAAAAGACCAATTTGACTGCAAAAGCCCAGTAGTGCAAGGCTGTTTTCTCTGTAGTGAAGGCTCTGCCTTGGGTTTGGGTATGGGAACCAGCGAGTGCATGTCGCCCGTCACCCACCTCCCTCTGCAGCTGCCCTTGTACTCTGACCTTTTCTGTCTGCCTGCCCTGCACTGCCCTCCTGTTCCTCAGTTCATGGGCAACCAGACATGAATTCAAGTTCTTGCTTTTTCGCTTTCTTGCTATATAAAGTAGATAACAATGAAGAAGTAATGCAAGAGGTGATTATGGACATTGGAGAAGATCTTTTCCCCCCCATGATGCACATTTTGGGTGATTTAACAACAACAATAACAAAAAAAAATGGGTTCTTTGATTAGGAACACTTAAGGATGAAAAGTTTTAACCATTTTTCAGATTTTATTACCTACTTGATATAGTCTAATGGATCTCACAAGTAATTATTTTCATGATTCCAAATTGTATGTGCCTGAGCCTGTTTATCTAATAATTAACAGAATCACTACTGTCAAATGTTTCCTGCTTCAAATGAGGTCATGGGGCATCCCCATTGATAGCTACACGTTGTGCTTTTCTCTGAGTACCACGAAAATGGTTGAGTTTGGCCAATATACCCAAAATGATGTGAAATAAAGGTAGCTTAAATATATCATCTTTGAGCAATATGATTCTTGATTTGCTGTATTTAACAGGTATATAGGTGGTTTCACTGCCCAATGTAGCATTTTCATGATCAATGAAAATTAATAGTTGCTGATCCTCTTAGCACATTGAGTCTATATGATTTGGATTTCCATTTGGAGCAAGACTTCACTGTTGAGTCGAAGGGACATTTCCAATGTTTAGTGTAATGTTAGAAACAGGAATTGAGGCCGGCGCCATGGCTCAATAGGCTAATCCTCCGCCTTGCGGCGCCGGCACACCGGGTTCTAGTCCTGGTCGGGGCGCCGGATTCTGTCCCGGTTGCCCCTCTTCCAGGCCAGCTCTCTGCTGTGGCCCGGGAGTGCAGTGGAGGATGGCCCAAGTACTTGGGCCCTGCACCCGCATGGGAGACCAGGAGAAGCACCTGGCTCCTGGCTTCAGATCAGCATGGTGTGCCGGCCACAGCGCGCCAGCCGCGGCGGCCATTGGAGGGTGAACCAATGGCAAAGGAAGACCTTTCTCTCTGTCTCTCTCTCTCACTGTCCACTCTGCCTGTAAAAAAAAAAAAAAAGAAAAAAAAAAGACAGAAAGAAACAGGAATTGAGTGTGGAACATGAAAACTCTAAGTGCATAGGAGCCACCTGTGCACTCATTCTTGTAGTTCGCCAACTTAAGGACTCTGTGTAAGAGATGACAGGAGAGGCCTAGTGCATGCAGTTGTCCTTGAGTGCTGTCCTGCAGTTGGACATCTTTGGAGTAACACTGCTCATGAAGAGTTTTAGTGTTGACAGAGAGTTCAGTTTATTGGTGCAAATTGTCGCTATTTGAGTGTCATCATAGTTTGCCTTTCCTCACCTGGTGTGGTCCCAGGGGACAAGAGTCTCCCTTTGTGTTCCCTCCAGTGGATCAAGCCCCCTCTTCCCAGCACAGTGGGGACAGGAATGCTGCAATCACTGGCGTTCCAGGTGATGGATCGATCAGCAAGCCTGCATTGAGCCAGCACAACTTTATATTTTATGTCAGGTCCAGAGGCTCCTTATTACTTTGCTATTAACTTTATACCATATAGGACAATGTCTCACAGACAGGGGTATCTGTCTTTTTGGCATTTATCTGCCTCTGTGGCACAAATCAAACATGATTCTTTAATACCAAAGTCAGTTCTTAAGACTGTTAACTTCGACAAAACAGCTTAGTAAAACTCAGTCTAGGCACTTAGTTTTTAAGCTGGATTTAAAATATTTAAGCAACATACAACTTTTTCCCCCTAGGCCAAAACTGAATGGTGCGTTTGAAATCTGTGCTCCTCTGTTGTTTTCCTCTTTGACATGGTTACCTATTTACCACAGACTCCCCACGCAAATTACAATTAGCTTGGAAAGAGATAAGTATCCAAAGTGTTCCAAATGGCGTAAATAATTCCCTACTGCGATACAGACTGTCTAGGGGCTGACACGACACATCTTCCATTCTAAGATTTACTTCTATCACCTGTCAGAGACCCTTGATTCAAGGGCACAAGAGCAAACCCTCACTTGCACTTGAGATTCTTGGCCGGCTTAATAACCCCCGCCTGCCCTAAGGAACGCAAAGTGTGTGTTTCTGAGAAACGCGGTCAGGCACTCTGAAGGATGGTTGACGTGCAGAGGGATGGATACACACCGTGTCCACAGCCATCCTGGTGTCCTTGCTCGGTCTTTTGTTTACTTTTCTATCCATGGTGCTGAAGGTGCAACAAATCCCTTCCTTGTTACTTTGTCCAAGGTTATTGCTTGTGAGGGAAACTATGCAAAGCAGCAGTCTAAACTGATAGGTGCTGTTAGGTCGTGTGAAGGAGAAATGGGATGGAAATTGGCCACATTCTGCTTATTTGGATAGGCTGCATACAGGTAACCCTGCCGAGTTACAGACAGCGTGTTGAGAGTAGTTCATTCTTCCTCATGGTGCCAGTGGTTCATGTCCGGGCTGGAATGACGGAGTGTGTAGAAGCAATGCTCCCAGTCAGTCTACCTTCCATAAAACACATGCCTTGGAAACTGCGTAGACCTTTTAATATAATGCTTGTTGCATCTCAATCAAGAAACAGTTATTTGGAAACTCAAATTCTGATTTCAGCTTTGTAAAATTTGTTTTTAAACCCAACAGTCTAGAAGCTGGATTTATGCTTTTGACTATGCAAGTAAATTGAGACTAACAAACAAGGAACTCATGTATTTCTGCAGCTTATTTTCCTGATTTGTTTTTTAAGATTGCCAAATTATATATTAAGAGCAATAATGTTGAATGTGTAACAAAACTGATGAGTTTTAAATTAACTCATATACAGATTTGAATAAACTGCAGTATGTATTAACTGACAAGGTGTTCCTACTCCATCAATCACTCAGATGCATCAACCTTCCTTAGCCTAAGACTTAATTCAGCATCATATTTCAGTAGCATAATATTTTCCCCTGCCAGTCAGTATGATTCATAATTTCTTAATATTGCACAGTGTAATCTATGGCATGATCAAGGTGAATAAAAAATAACCATTAATAGTTTACTATAATATGATACTAGCTTCATGTGAATTTCAAATTATTAGAATTATAGAGAATATTAATGGCATTATTCGTTAAAAATATTGTTAAATTTAAATTGTGTCACATAAAAATGCCATGAATGTTTGTTTGTTTATTTTTAAACTTATTCAAGAGGCAGAGAGACAGAAGAGACAGACAGTTAGACGGAGACTGCTCCTATCCGCTCGTACACTCTCCAAACGCCCACAACGCGGGGGCTGGCCCAGGCTGTGCCTAGGAGCTGGGAACTCAGTTCAGGTCCCCATGTAAGCGGTGAGGGCTCAAGCACTGGGAACATCATCCCCTGCTTCCCGGGCTCATCAACAAGGAGCTGAGTCAGAACATAGAACAGCTGGGACTCAAGTGAGACTCTGACATGGCATGTAGGCCTCCCACGAGAGCTCAACCCACTGTGCCCCACCTCCTGCCCCTGAACACCTTTCTGAAGGAGCTTATGTTGAACTCCCAAACAAAGAAAATTATGTTTAAAGACCCAGTGATCGTTAGTTCATACTGTGGACTAGGGCAATGAGGTTGACAAACATCTTTACCCCTACCAGACACCTGCCACACCCATGAGAAACGGTAGCTTAAAAACGTCTCCACGGTTAGCATTATAAACAAGGTACCAGTGAGCTGGAGTTCCAGAGCGTTTTATATGTTTGACTGGAATAAGGAGACATAAGAATATATTTGTGAATATGTGTAATGAGCAAAATCTATAAATTGAACATTTAGATTGATTATATTAAAAGTGGAAGTATTATATTATCTATCTTAAAGTCTCACACCACTATCATGATCGTGATTGTATTATTTTGGAATAAAGGTGAACAAGATTAGAATCCAGAAATAGGCCTGCACATGTATTTGACACATATTTTCAAGCAAAGCAGATTAATTAGAGATAAATCTTCAAAGCATGTGCAAAACCTTTGCAGTGGAAACTTCGAAACACCACTGAGAAAAAATAAATAGATCTAAGTAGAATAAATAGACCATGTTCATGGATCAGAAGATTTATTGTTATGCAGATTATAGTTACTCCCACATTGATGAGTCCACGTCTCATCTGTGTTTTTAAGAAATTGACAAGTTGATTTTAAACTTCATATGGAAATGCAAAGGTCTGAAATAGTCAAACAAGGTCAGGAAAGAAGAACAAAAGTGGAGGGCTTTTACTACCTGACTTCAAGACCTATTATAAAGCTACAGTATTCAGGCTATCCTGATGTTGTCATTAAGGTGGGCAGTGTGTCACTGGGATGGAATGGAGGTCACAGAAATTGACTCACACCCTGTGATTAGTTTTTCGACACAGGAGCAAAGATTTATCCTTTCCAGCATATGATTGGGAACAACTGCATTCATGTACGGTAAAAGTGAACTTTGATTCATACTTTGTACCATACTTCATGTATGTAGATTAGCTCACACTGGTCATAATCTAAATGTAAATCCTGGATGAAAACATAGGAGGAAAAAAATCTTTGTCACTTTGAAATATCAAAGATTTCTTAAATCGCATTATCAATAACTTCATCTAGAAAAGAAGTAACTTGAAAAATTATAAATTGTAACCTACAAGCTTTATGAAGTAACAAGCTTCTCTGCTTCAGAAGACAGCATATTGACAATTAGCAGGTAAATCACAGAGGGGAGAAGTTGTGTCCACACCACAGAGTTGGAAAGGATCTGTTTCTAGAATACTTACCTCCAAACCACAATTCTGAGAAAACAGTCAAAAAGTCTGGTGAGGTAGTTCAACCAAAGAGTATGTGTATATTTCACACACACACACACACACACACACACACACACACACAGATACACCTGTATTCTGTTCCTATGACATAGATACATGTTGAATAAATATGTGAGAAAATCCTCAACATCTTTAGAAAAGCAGAGATTTAAAGTGCTGATGACAACAAAGCTTGGGGAGGATTTGGAGCAACAGGGACCTTCACGCACCCTGGTGAGAGTATAAAATGGAAAGACCACTAGGGGAAATAGGTTAGCAGTTTTGCAAAGCGATGTGTGCCTACCACACTGCCCTGCCATTCTACTACTGGGTATTTTCCCAAGAGAAAAGCACATATATGTTCAGCAATGACCTGCACATCTTGCTTATAGCAAATTTATTTTTTGAAATAGCCAAAAATGAATACTCTTGTGTCCTTTAATGAGTAAGTGGATACGTAAACTGCGTTGCATCTTTCTGATGGAATACTGCTCAGCTGTGAGAATAAATGGAGTGTTGCTACCTGGAGCAGCATGAGTGTATCATGGAATAATTATGCTGGGACAGAGAGCCTAGATCACAAGGCTATTATACGTCTCCACGTATGTAAATTTCTAGAAAATAGATAAAGTGAAGGTACTTCAAAAAGTTAATGAAAGTAGAACTGGAAGATGAATTTATTTTGTTGCAAAAATTTTGAAATCCATGCATAGCTTTTTCATAATGCACATTTTTGTGAATTTTTGAAGATATCTCGAAGTTATTTTACCCCAGAATAAGCACAAATATAGTGTAACAAAGCAGGCGTGACTGCCTTCGGGATGAGTGGGGCTTATCTCGACTGTGTAACAAAGCAGGTGTGTACTGCCGTCGGGATGAGTGGTGCTTACCTCGACTGTGGGGCTAGTTTCATCGGTAGCCAGATTTACCAGTGTGTTCCTTACTGAAGCTGTTTATGTGTATACTGTTTATATTCTGCCTTGCTGCTCAGTCTAGAGAGACTTATGTCAAGTTAGTCACAATATTAATAATAGGTACAGTTTCTTCCAGATTACTGCTTTCCCTTTCTAACTTTTTTTCATGTGAACTGTATTTTGATATAGGTGTGAGGTTAAATTACTATTCATCTAATTTAATAAACAAATTCAGGTTCTTTTTTTGTTTTAAAGATTTATTTATTTGAAAGTCAGGGAGGGAGGGAGGGAGAGAGAGAGAGAGAGAGAGAGAGAGAGAGATTGAGATTGATTCTATCCACTGGTTCACTACCCAAATGGCCACAATGGCCAGGACTGGGCCAGGCCAAAGCCCGGAACCAGGTGCTTCATTGAGGTCTCTCACATAGGTGCAGGGTCCAAACACTTGGGCCATCTTCCACTGCTTTTTCCAGGCCATTAGCAGAGAGCTGGGTCGGAGTGGAGCAGGTGGGACACAAATTGGTGCCCATTTCAGATGCCAGCATTGCAGGTGGCGGGTTTACCCAATATGCCACAAAAATTCTTATAATGATAATGAGCATAACTATTTTCAGTTTTGCTTTAGACTTACACAATACAATTATAATATATTGTCCCTTGGATTTACACAAAATATCCTATTATCGTGACAGTGGATTTTTTTATGAGTTACACCAATATGACTGAATTGCCTATAGCCATTTAAGTTTCTTGACCAGAAGTTTAGAATCTGAGAACAAATTGTTGAAGCAGCTCTTGGCTGACTGCTTCTTTAGAGTGTTGTATATGGCTAAAAGAGAAAAATATTTCAACTAAAATATATTTGATCTTTGTACATAGTCTTGAAAATAAAGCAAAACAAAGGTATGTCAAGTAGAAACATTTCTTGGTAAGAACTGTTAAATTTTATCATTATGTATCCTGTTCACTATGCAAGACCAGTTACTTTTTTCTAAGATTTATTTATTCATTTATTTGAAAGGCAGAGCAACACACATAGGGTGGCGGGGGGTTGGTGGTAGAGGGAGAGAGAGAATCTTCATCTGTTCCCCAAATGGCCACAACAACTGCGCATAAGCCAGGCCAAAGCCAGGAACCAGGACTCCATCCAGGTCTCATTCATGAGTGGCAGGGATGCAGATACTTGGACCACCAGGTTTGTTAGCAGGAAGCTAGATTCAAAGTAGAGGAGCAGGGACTTGAACCGGAAATCCAGCATGGGATGTAGGCCTCCCAAGTGCCAGGTTCACTTGCTGTGCTACCACACCTGCTCCAGTGATGGTAGTCATTTTACTGGTTCTGGGCTATTCCTGGGAGCCATTTCTTGCCCTTCTTTTTGTCTTCGACAGAGGCTGGTTTACAATTGCCAGTGTTTAGGCAGTGCTAGCCTAATAATATAAAAGCAGCTCTTTATCGACCACTCTGATAAGTGTGCTTTCTATATTTTTGTCATATTTAATCCTCACAAATTACTCTCCATATTCGGTGGCATATGTCTTGCTCAAGTGATCTAACAGGTAGCATGTGACAGAACCAGGATTGGGACTGAAGTTCATCTGGCTTTACTTAACTATTTTGCTGTTCTGTAAAGGACATAAAAACAGCCCCCAACAAGATCTGTGTGCATTCACATAAATATTGCTGCAGTGAAGGCTAAGGCCACATAAACATTCCAGTTTCATAAGAGATATTATTTTATTGATAGTCACACTGATGTATAATTTAAATACTTCTTATATATATAAATGCATACACAAATATATATACATATATATATATTACTTCTTTCAGAGGTAAAGAGTGATACATAGAAAATTATAGAAGTTCAGTCAAACAGACAAGGAGAGCCCCTGCCACTGGTTCACTCTCCAGATACCTAAAGTGGCCATTCTTCAGTGTGGGTGTCAGAATCCCATGTTCTTTAGCCATCACCACTGATGTCCAGAATACACATGGGAAGGAAGTGGATTTGGGGACCAGGGCAGGAGTTGAACCCAGGCATTCTGATGTGGAACCACAAGGCTAAACCCTGGAATGACTTTAAACCAGGATATCCCATAGTTCATTAAATAAGTTAGTATACTACACATAAAACTTGGGGGGAAAAGTTTGTTGAGTTGAATATTGCAATATATTGCATTATTGGGAATTTAGAATGAGGTTCTCCCTAGTTCATCACAGTCCAATAGAAACGTAATATGAACTATGCTGGAGCATTTCAAATTCTGGTTCAGAACATCTTTGAAATCCATACATACGGAGGATCTTCAAAAATTTCATGTATATTAGAGACACTATGCATGGATTTCACTTTTTGTGTGCCTAAATCACAACTTTTAATTCTTATTCCCGTACACATTTTAAATTCACCTGAAGCATGTGGGATGGTTCCCAGCAACTATACTGAAAAAAAGAAAAACATGTGAAATCACTTTTGTGATATAGTTCATTTAACCAAATATATCCAACTTTTTTTTTTATCATTTCTTCATGTAATCAACTTAAAGATTTTTATTTTCTTTATTTGAAAGGCAGAGTTACAGAGAGAGGAGGAGGGACAGAGAGACAGATCTTTCATCTGCTTGCTCACTCCCCAAATGGCAGCAATGGCCTGGGCTGAGCCAGACCAAAGCCAGAAGACCAGAGCTGTTTCTGGGTCTCCAACATGGGTGTAGAGGCTCCTCTTCCACTGCTTTCCCAGGCACATTTACAGGGAGTTGAATAGGAAGTGGAGCAGCTGGGGCTGGAGCTGGCACCCACATGGGATGCTGGCATCACAGTTGAAGGCTTAACCTGCTATGCCTCTGCACTGTCTCCCATGAAATCGATTAAGCTTTGTTAACAATATTTCATTGTATTTTTGTGTTAAGAATTTGAAATTTGATGTGCACTTTACATGTCTCAATTCAGAGGCTAAGTTCTCAATTGAAATGCATGACCTCTGTTTAGATTTGATAAAACTTACACTTCAAAAACAAGACGCACATTTCCAAGCTGTTCTGACCATATTTAGACGTTTTTTCAATAGCAGATTTGAGTATCAGTTTCTAAACATACTTTTTAGAGAATTAAAATGTTGTCCGTATTATATATATTATACCTACACAGAATTGATATATTTTAAAGTGGTGTTAAATAATATTTTAAATATTTCTTTGAGGCCTCCATTTTTTTTACTCAGTGAACTGTATTTTCTTTTACTTTTAATGCTGTTTTAAGTTGTGTCCATTTATAACTTGGTTTTATTTATTTTTCTCATTCTTAATAACAAGACTTAAAAGTTTAGCATTATATATATTTGATGTATAACTCTGTTTTTTGTGATTTTAACATTATTGAAATTTTTATGATGACTCTAATCTAACAACTTGTTAAATCATTCTAGGTACGGTGCTAAACCCTACCTCTAGTGTTGATTCCTGTTTGTATAAGATTAATTTTAATTGTATATTATGCACCTTGCTTATGTTCTAACATAGAAACAGAAATCAATGATTTAATCTAACTTTCTCACTGTGAGAATATTCAAATATTCTAAAATCATTATTCACATAAAATGTTTCTTCATCTGTAACAGGAGAAAAACCTTTCAAATGTGATGAGTGTAACTTTGCTTCCACAACCCAGTCCCATTTGACTCGACATAAGCGTGTGCACACTGGAGAAAAGCCGTACAGATGCCCCTGGTGTGACTACAGGTAACGAACGCTGGGCCGCCATGTGAGCTCACCATCCTGTTAAATGGCCTGTAAAGAGAGTTTTCCAATCAGCTTTAATGGGCGTATTCCACGGCAAGGTTTTGTTTTAGTTTGGGAGTTTTATGTGTAATTTTAGTGATTTTTTTTTAAGATAGGCTGTATTCTTTCGAAGTTGAAGTTCATAGTAAACTGAGAGGATAGTGCTGTGACTTCTCATACATCCTCTACCCCTGCTGGTGTAGAGCCTCCTGGTCTTCACCATCTCCACCAGAAGGAGGCATCGTTGGTGACCGTAGCGGAACCTATGCTGACACTTTGTCTTCACCTAGAGCCTCCAGATTGCCTTAGAAAGTCCTGCACAGTCTATGCATTTAGACAAGTTTTTAATGTCATTGATCCACCATTGTCGTATCATATAAAGTTAGTGATTGTTACACACAAAGTTCTTTTCCATTTTTTGTGATCTTACTAGTTAGGTTTTATGATCGTTTGTTACACCTGAGTGTCTAGTGATTTTTATTTTGCTATGCATTGTAAGGTGTCACACCTGTTAATTGATCAGTTAGCGCGTAAATGATAGCTCATCTTCTGAGAGTAAAGATGGTGTCAGCAGTATTCCCTGCCCTGAACGGTGTGAGCGTAGAAGGTGACTGAAGACTCCACAATGAGTCAAGTGCAGGTTGGTCAGGGCGAGCCCAGGGGCCTCCGAGCGCTTGGAGCAGGAGCACGTTGAGCCCAGCTGAAGTCCTCACAGAGGAGGGAGCGTCAGCCACGACGTAGAGTACGGTGGAGGGCCAAGGACTCAGGTGCGTTCTAAGAAGATGTGGGCTGTCGGTGACTGGGTGATACTGCAGAGGTTGTTAGAGGCAGGAACCCCAGTGCAGAATGTCAGTGGACTCGGGCAGTGCCGCGTCGTCTGGCTCAGCAGTATGAGGAGGTGCAAGTACAAGGGTACCGGCCAAAGGCGAGATGGAGAATGCCGCTTGCAGCTGGGTCGGCCTGTCCTGGACCCCGGTGCTGGTCTGGAGGGCACTAGCAGGAGTGCTGGCAGCAGTGGTACCTGTGTCAGAGTCTGCTGGCTCGCATGGGAACGTGGAGATAGGGAGGCTGTGCCTTCCAAGGCAGCTCACTCTCGTTGGCTTTGGGATGTGTGCAGTCAGCCTGAAGCTGCCTATAAAACCAGCTTTGAATTCCCGCAGATGTAGCCTCTGCACTCAGCGCGTGTATTCTCAGGGTCATTATCGTCCACCACAGCGTCGCATCAAGTTGTCATCAAACAGCACAGAGACTGAACAGATACAGTTCACTCATGCAGCGTTCATCCATCCACTCAGCATTGGATGCGACCTGCTGTCATTGAACACCAACTAGGTTGGTGTTTCCTGAAAACTTGGTAAAATGGTAATCCGGAAGAAGTAGACACCAGTGCTACTTAATCCTCACTGAGGTTCTGGTAATATGTTTTTTTAAGGACTAGGCAAAGAACTTCCAGGTTTTATTTTTTAAGCATTATTTAACAAGAAAAACATTCAACCAAATTAAAAAAAAAAATAGGATGGCTTAATTCACCATAAAATAACCAACCTAAAGTAACCTGTTATTTTATAGCCAAGGAGGCCAGTAGTTCTTGTTTTAAAACAGCAAAATTGCACACTTGATATTTTACCCATGTGTGATGACAGAGAAATGCGTGTCATGCAGCTGGCGTGGACACCACTCCCCCAGCATGGAGCTGAGACTGCTCCCTGGGCCAGCACTCAGCCTTTCCCAGTCAGCCACATTTTGAAATATGGGTTCTTCAAAAATAACATTTGAAGCTCTTTTCCTGTATGGTTGAGATCATACTGTAAGACACAGAAAAGCATTTAGAAAAATAAAAATTTTCTTCAGTTTTTGTTTTAGCGCTTCGGCTTGTATGCTTTCAGTCTACCTGATGCATATTTTGCTGTTGTCTTGGGGGAGGTATTTTGTTTGTTTCAGTGCAAATTTTTCATACTTAACAAGTTGTAACTACCTTCCCATGCCAATAATAAATCTTCTGTATAATGTTGATTTTCAAACTGAAAGTAGCAGTCCTATAGTTTCAAATAAGACTGTGTACGAAATGCCACATATAAAATAGGTAAAAGTGGTATTCACCACTTGCAAGTAGATTTCATAGTTAAAACAGATAGTATTTATTTATTGTAACACTTATGGATAGTATTTTCAGACTTTTGACAGGTAAAAATTTTTAAAAAGAGGAGAATTGTTGATAAAGTTACCGGTGAGTTAGCCTCAACATCCCAATTTTGTCTTCAGTTTGGGGTAAGCACACACCACGCAGGTGCGGCTGTGTGAAGGATCCAGTCTAGGTGTCCTGTAGCTGTGTCACGTTTACCTCTCAGAGCTACTGCTGCTTTCTTTGGGAAATCAGTGGCTCTTCCTTCGAGGATCCTGTGCCCTCAGATCAGAAACCCGCTGACCATGCACTCCGAGCCTGGCACAGGGCCTTGTTTGGTACACATTGACCCTCGGTTTTGCCCCCCTCTCAGGTGACTGGCTTGCTTGTTGGTTGTGTTTACTGTGCTTTTCAGTCTCTGTGCACTGTTCAGGGAGTAAATGCAGGTGACTTACTGTCCTGGAGGGGTTCACTGGTTAAAATTTACTTCACAATACATGCCAAGATTCAATTTGTTTTTTACAGTTTTTGAAGTAGTTAAAATTTTACTAAATCTAAAATCAGTTGTTGGATAATTGCTGAAATACTTTACAGTTTCAAAATGCCCAGTTTGAAAAGGTTTTTATTCATTAAATATCTGAGCACCAGAATGCTTTAATTTAATGAGAAGAATTTTTTTGTAAAGTTAATGAAGTTGAAAAATGAAATTTATCAAATTTATCAAATTTATCAAATTCATTTACAATGAAAGAAGAGTTATAATTAGATTATGACATTACAATAAATAGATTTTCATTCATGTAAGAAAAAAAATAGAAAACCACTCTTCTGAATTATAATTTTAATACATTGTGGTCCCAGGTAATGCTGTTATGCAATAGTCAAAATTTATTTCAGGTTTTTATAGGATGCCGGTGCTACAGGCCATGGCGTTAACCCGCTGTGCCATAGCACCGGCCCCAGATCTGTGATTTGTTTTAAAGATTTATTTACTGTATTTGAAAGGCAGTTATATAAAGATTCCTTCCATACACTCATTCACTCCCCAAATGGCTTCACAAGCTGTTGCTAGGCCAGGAAGAAGCCAGGAGTTTCCTCTGGGTCTCCTATGTGGGTGGCAGGGGCGCCGCTGCTTTTCCAGGCCATTAGAAGGGAGTTGGATTGGGAGCGGAGCAGCCAGGTCTGTAACCGGCACCCATATGAGTTGCCAGCATTGCAGGCGACAGCTTAACCCATGACACCACAATTCTGGATGTTGTGATTTCTATAAGAATGAATTCCCAGAATTTGTGATGAAGCGTTTGATAGAGCACTACAGAAGTTGTGATTCTTTTCTCTCTTATTAGTGGTGTCTTTGGTAGATGCAACTTTGTGTGCATATAGACATTTTTCAAAGTGTTTCAGGTTTTCTTGATTTGAAAGTGCATTGTACTCTTTGCAAAGGTTGAGGTCCCTGTTCAAGTCGCCCTTCTAAAATAACATCATTTCTTATTAGTAGTGCACTTCACCCAGCTCGATCCCATCCCTGTTGTGTGTCCATCAGGTACTGTGTTAGGGAGCAGGGGAGCTAGAAGAGAAGAGACAAAGGAAACGCGAACTACTCTGATCTGATCAATACATGCTGCATAGATGTGTTGAAATACCACACTGCACCCTGTAAGTTTGTACAGTTGTTACATGTTAACCAAAAAATTTAAAAGCATAGCACAAGACTGGCATTGTGGTGTAGCAGGTAAAGCCATAACCTGCTATGTCAACATGCCATATGGCTGCTGCTTCTGGTCCCAGCTGCTCCACTTCCAATCCAGGTGCCTGCTAATGTGCCTGGGAAAAGCAGTGGAAGATGACCCAAGTGACTGAGCCCCTGCACCCATGTGGGAGACCCAGAAGAAACTCCTGGCTCCAGCCTGGCCCAGCCCCAGCTGTTGAGGCCGTTTGGGGAGTGAATCAGATGTTGGAAGAGCAAGTTTTTCTCTCTGTCTCTCCCTCTCTCTGCCTTTCAAATAAATAAAATAAATCTTTTTTAAAAAATGTATAGCAAATACAATTGTATACAGTATATAATGCTTGATAGTGATAAAAGTGACTATGTTTCTGGTTTATGTATTTTTTTAAAAAAAGCAGTTAGTGTTTTCTAAGTGTATTGCTACTGTCCAGTGAATTAATACTTTGGACATTTAAGTCCAATCGTATCCACTGAATTTCCTTTTGAAATGTTTAATATTTTTGATAAAAGGGTGATTTTTATCCGTATTTAAAACTTTTAAGTAATTTGGTCTTTCCGTTCTCTCAAAAGGTTTACTAGTCTGGATGCCCATGGTTAAATTTGCTTTAACTAGTCAACAAAGACAAGCTGACCTTGCACTGAGTAAAGTCAGTGTGAAATAGGAGAATAGGTGCAGAGTTATGGATTATGGATGAAATGTGGGTCTTAGAACTCGTATCTTTTGTTTTATTGTTGATGAGAAAAAGATTTGAAATGAGCAGTTAAGTTCCAAATGATTAATTTGCTCGCATAGTATAGGAAGAACAAGATAATCACCAACACATTTACCTCTCATAAACAAAGGAAAAGGCTTTTGCCATGTGATATTTGTGTATGATCATGTATTAGATGGCCACATATTTTAGGAGCATATATTCTTATTTATCTTATTAGTATCACCTCATAATGTTTATTGCTCAAAATATTTAAATAACTTTTTTCCCATTGAGATTTTTATTTGCTTAATGTAAGTGGATAGGAATTACTCCTGTAGAGTATTCCTGTCTTTGTCATTATGAACATTTATTTGCAGGTAAATTATCATCATTAGAACCTGAAATATTATTTAAATTT